TCCAGAGGGAAAGAAAGAGAGGAGTGGGGATACTGAAATCCAGGTCTCCACTCACTCATACCCCTTCCTTACCAGGCTTTCTGCCAACCCATCGCCCAGAGCCCAGGCCCGAGGCCCGACCTGAGCACCGACCTGGCCCTGAGTTTCCCTTGCCCAGCGTCCCTGCTTGGACTGGTCCTGAGATTCCTGAATCAGGTGCGGTAGAGAGAATTAAAGGAATCGATGCGGGTATTATAGGTGGGGATTTGGGGGAAGAGGCTCCAAGGTGAAGATTCTGGGATAGAACAAACAGCGATGTCATGGGTAGAGGCATTAAAGAACAGGTGGGAAGAGGTAAGGATGTGAAAGATTGGGTGGTGGTTAGATCCAGAGCTGCAGTTGGACTTGGGCTCCAATTCTCTCAGTTGAACTAATCGTTTAACTTGAGACTCAGTTTTCTCCTCTAAAATGGGAACCATTGTGAGGCTTCAACGAAAAGTCTCTGAAATTTCTGGCACATAGTAAGTGCTCAGTTAATGTTAGATAAATATTTTTCACGGAGGGCACTAAGAACGTATCTCATGCAGAAAGATGAAGAGCAAAATATTCAAAAGTGGGAAACTGGGGGTGGCATTATGGGGAGATTCAGTCAGAGGATCTGATGAGAACGTTCCATAGTAAGGGAGAGGGGTCCCCTTACCGACCCGATACAGATGAAGAGCAAAATATTCAAAAGTGGGAAACTGGGGGTGGCATTATGGGGAGATTCAGTCGGGGGTTCTGATGAGAACGTTCCATAGTAAGGGAGAGGGGTCCCCTTACCGACCCGATACAAAAAAAAGTATAAGGTAGAGGGGGATCAGAGGTAGAAGAATGGGTTCAGGGAGAGGACATCGATGCAGGGGTTTTAGGCATAGGCCATGAGGGGATTGTACTGTGATGAAAGGGATAGAGGATTCAGAGATGCGGGAACCCTAGCTGACTGGACCCCTAGGTCCTTCCTCGGGCGTGTGTCAGCGCAATCCCCAGGTCTGCGGTCCAGGACGCTGCATAACCCGCCCCAGTGGCTACACCTGCGTGTGCGACTCCGGTTTCCGGCTCAGCCCCCAGGGCACCCGCTGCATTGGTGAGCCGGGCGGAGGAGTGGACGTAGGCGGTTGGGGGGTGTTCCCGATCATCTTGTGACCAGCCCCTTCCGTGCTCTCAGACGTGGACGAATGTCGCCGCGTGCCCCCGCCCTGTGCTCCCGGGCGCTGCGAGAATGCACCAGGGAGCTTCCGCTGCGTGTGCGGCCCCGGCTTCCGAGCCGGCCCGCGGGCTGCGGAGTGCCTGGGTGAGAAACCCGCTTCACCCAGCTGCAGCCCCACCCTTCCCTGGGTCTCGCTCCTGCTCTTTCTCCAGAGCCGCTCCTGCCCTCCCAGGCTTCCCCACGCCGGTCCAGACCTACTACTCCCCGCTGCCCCGCCCCCGGAACCAGCTCTGGTCCTGGCCCTGCCGCTGCCTCGCCCCCACGCCCTGGCTGCCCTCCTCGATGGGCCCCGCCCCTTCCCTATCTTGGACTAGCCCCCTCCGGGCCCGACCCCTGTCCAACAACTGCTTCAACCAGTCTCCTGACCACGACCCTTTTGTTTTTTGGAGTCTGGCCGGCATGGGGATGCGAACCTGTGACTTTGGTGTTATAAGGCTGCGCTCTAACCAACCTGACCATAACCCTTGATTCCACCCTGCCACACCAGAGCCCGTCCCCAAACTGCCCCTTCCTTCTCTAGCCCTGCTTCTGCCTTCCCTTTGCTCGGTCCCCAGGGCTGCCCTTCCTGCCCTTGCCCTGTCCTCTCCAATTTGCCCCCTCTCACGGTCACCCTCCCCTCCTGTGTCCAGGCGGGGCCCCCAGCCCTTGTCCCGCCCTTCCCGCTCAAGCCCCACCTTCGCCTTAAGCCTCCCCACTCCGAGCCCCGCCTGCCGCCCCTGGCTCCCGCCCCAAGCTCGGCCCCGCCTCTGCCCTCCCTCTCTGTCCCACGTCCCCGCCCTTCGTCTCTCCGGGGGCTATCTGCCCCAGTCCCAGCCGCCCGGTTTGTGCCCACAGACGTGGACGAATGCCACCGCGTGCCGCCGCCGTGTGACCGCGGGCGCTGCGAGAACACGCCAGGCAGCTTCCTGTGCGTGTGCCCCGCCGGGTACCAGGCTGCGCCGCATGGAGCCAGCTGCCAGGGTGAGGGACTGGGAGGGGCGGAGGGGAAGGGGGTGCAGGGGGAAGGGTAGAGCGGCAGTGGAGAGGGATGGAGAGACTGAGCAAGGGGGCAAAGGGAGACTGATCGATGGGAGACAGAGGCCAGTTAATGAGAACCAGACGAGTGGCCTGATGACTAGAGAAAGTGACCTGGGGATGGAGAGGCCAAATGATGGGAAACAGAAAGGCTGAGTCATGGAGGACGGAGAAGCAGAGTGAGTGGGATGGAGATGTCAGTAACAGGGGAAGGGGGCAGAGTTATGGAGGCAGAGTGTGGGGGACAGAGGGGAAGAGTGACCCCAGGCCTTGCCCCATGCAGATGTGGACGAGTGCATCCAGAGCCCCGGCCTCTGTGGCCGAGGGGTTTGCGAGAACCTGCCCGGCTCTTTCCACTGTGTTTGCCCGGCTGGTTTCCGGGGCTCGGCGTGTGAAGAGGATGTGGATGAGTGTGCCCAGGAGCCACCACCCTGCGGGCCAGGTCGCTGTGACAACACGGCTGGTTCCTATCACTGTGCCTGCCCTGCTGGCTTCCGCTCCCGAGGGCCGGGGGCCCCCTGCCAAGGTGAGGGTGCTTAGTCTCACCCCACTCCACCGCCATTTGCCTTGGAGACTGTGAAGAGACATTTGTGAGGCACAGAGAGGAAGAGTGATGGGACTCAGTGATGGAGGACAGGGCAGAAGGGTGGGGTACTAGGGCCGGCCGTGGCTCCCGTCCACATTCCTCTTCCCTTGCTGAGTGATACTCCTGTGCTTGTGGGAGCCTTGAAGAGGGGACAACGGAGGCAGGGAAGGCAACATGGAGGAAGTGGTGCCTTAGCCTCACTCTGGCAGCTTGAGCGCCCATTAAATGGGGAAACAAGGAAGGGTTCATCCTCCTTGGTGAAGAAAGCAGCCTGGGCAAACTCCAGGAGGCTGGCTCAAGACTGGGATGTTGGGGTGGGTGGTGATGGCAATGGGGATGGGTCCAGGCCCCTTCCTCAGCCTGACTGGTCCGTTCTGCCCCAGATGTGGACGAGTGTGCCCGTAGCCCCACACCCTGCACATATGGCCGATGTGAGAACACGGAAGGCAGCTTCCAATGTGTCTGCCCCACGGGCTTCCAACCCAATGCTGCTGGCTCCGAGTGCGAGGGTGAGGCCGGGGAGGGAGGGAGTAGTGTGCATGGGTGAGGGGGGCATTGGGCCGCTCCTTCAAGGCCACCCTCTCCCCTGCCCCCCAGACGTGGATGAGTGTGAGAACCACCTGGCGTGTCCTGGGCAGGAGTGTGTAAACTCACCTGGCTCCTTCCAGTGCAGGGCCTGTCCTGCTGGCCACCACCTGCACCGTGGCAGATGCATTGGTGAGACCAGACCCTGGCTGTGACCTTGGACCTGCATTATGACCCCTGACCCAGATCCTGAACTGACCTATAACCTCCGACCAGGACTTCAATCCTCTCACCTGAACCACATCCCCCAGAGCCTGACTGTGACTCTGACTAGACTGCAGACTCCCGACCCAGACTGTCATCTTTGACCTGAACCACAACACTTGACTCTGCATGTGACTTCTGAGTCTATGACCCATGAATACTCAACTTGACTGTGACACTTGACCCTAACCCCAACCCTTGCTGATAACCCCTGACCACAACCCTGATAGCAGTTGTGACCCTCCTGACTCTGACTGTTCCCTGGCCATAAATGTGACCTGTGACCCCTGAATTTGACTGTGACATTTGACCCTAATCATAACCCTTGACCATAACGCTGACCAAAACACTGTGTGTGACTCTTGATCCTGTCTCTTTCACTGCCCCGCCCCTTTTCAGAATCTCTTCTCTGGAATCTGATTGGGTTCATGATTCCTGACCCCGACCCCTGACTTGAGGCAGAATTCTAAACTCTTACTGTAACCGCCGACCCTAACCAGTCTCAGATTCCTGTCACTGACTCTGACCCGTGAATCAGCAGAATCCCATTGAATGATCCTGGCTTATAATACTTGACCCCTTATCCTAGTTAATTTCTGACCACTGTCCCAATCCAGAGTTCCTTCCTCTGACACCAGGATCTTGGCACAGGGAGTTCCCAGAAACCCACACCCACAGAACTCCCAATCATGGTCCTCAGAACCAGAAAACCTTGGTCTGCCCTACCCATCTCTGCCATGGGGCCCTCACCCCGTCTTCAACTCAAGACCCTTCACACCACCTTCCCCAGACCCCTCTGCTCCAAGGAGGTGCGTCGGGTGTGTCCCTAGATTGGACCCCTTCTGAAACCCCTGCTCCCACAGATGTGGACGAATGCAGTTCGGGCGCCCCCTGCGGTCCCCATGGCCACTGCACTAACACCGAAGGCTCCTTCCGCTGCAGCTGCGCGCCGGGCTACCGGGCGCCGTCCGGTCGGCCCGGTCCCTGCGCAGGTGGGCAGGGTGGGGACCAGACGGAAAGCCTGAGGGTGGGACCTAGCCAGGAGGTGGAAGCCGGACTAAGGGGCTGTGGGTGGAGCTGGCCATGTGGGGTGTGGTTTGGGGGCTTTGTGGGCGGGGCTCAGGTCGGGTGGGGACGGGTCTGGTGACCCCGCAGCCCTGTCTCTCGCGTACCCTAGACGTCAACGAGTGCCTGGAGGGCGACTTTTGCTTCCCTCACGGAGAATGCCTCAACACCGACGGCTCCTTTGCCTGTACCTGTGCCCCCGGCTACCGGCCCGGACCCCGCGGAGCCTCTTGCCTCGGTCGGTACCTGGGCTGTGCTTGGACACGGATAGGGTGGGCTTATAGCAGGAAAAGGCGGGACAAGGGGAAGGGGGCGGAATGGGGAGTACGAATTTTTGGCCGGGGTCTTTTGGCATCGTGGGGGCGGAGTCTTAGGGCGGCCACCAAGCAGGGGCGGGTATGGGGAGGACAGGGAAACGACGGAGTCTGCAGAGTCGGAGAGTGACCGGAAAGGACTTACCCTAAACCCGTCGGGGAGCGGGACTTGCCGGGAAGGGAGGAGCCCACGGCAGATGGGGGAAGGCGTTGAAGGCCTCGGAGCCAGGAGGGGCGGGGAGAGGGCAGTGGAGGGGTGTGGCCTGGAAGGTTGAACGGAGGAGGAGGTGGGCCCGGCTTTCGGACACCCTGTCCCGTAGACGTGGACGAGTGCAGCGAGGAGGACCTTTGCCAGAGCGGCATCTGTACCAACACCGACGGCTCCTTCGAGTGTATCTGTCCCCCGGGGCACCGCGCCGGCCCAGACCTCACCTCCTGCCTCGGTGAGAGGCCATTCCCCGGCCTGACCCCTCCCCCTTTCTGATTCCCCGATTCCCGCATTTGCCTCCCACCTCTGCCTTTCCTCTGGGGCGTCCTCCCATCCCCTTTCCTGCTAACCCCGCTGCCCGCTTCTGACTCTCCTCTACCCTCCTTGACTCCCCCACCTGGCCTCCCTGCCTCCCCTGCTTCCCCCATCTGACTGCTCTGCTTCTCTCCTCAGACGTGGACGAATGTCGCGAGCGGGGCCCTGCCCTGTGCGGGTCTCAGCGCTGTGAAAACTCCCCCGGCTCCTACCGCTGTGTCCGGGACTGCGATCCTGGCTACCACGCGGGCCCCGAGGGCACCTGTGACGGTGAGACTACTTCTGTCCCCTCCCCCAGCTCCCAGGATAGGCTGCTGGAGTCTGCGCCATGCCTTACAGACTTGTGGGCAGGGAAGGGCCCCCAACCGAAACACCCTTTACCCGCTTTCATCGCATCTCCGTGGTGGAAATAAACCACCACTGTGGTCTTGTATTTTCTTGTGGAGGTAGGGGTGGGGTGGGGGGAGATACTCCTATCAGGGACCAGGCTAAGCCTAGCTTCCAGAAGCAGCTTAAGCCCCCTCTGCAGCTAGAGCCATACCCACATTTTAGGCTGTATCCCTAAAAAGATAACTCCTAACAGTGAGAACTATTAGGCCCCACCCCTTCCAGTTGGCCTATGGATTAAAAGTCCCTCTTCAGTCTCCTTCTCTTCCTAATACTGTAAATTTGGAGGAGCCCTCTCCTCATCCTCCATCACTAGTTCTACTTCCAGCTGTCCCTCCAGAGAGGCCCAACACTGGCTGCCCTGGGAACCATCCTTTCCCAATGTGAAATTCACCAAAGTTTCTCCAAAGGCTAATTCCTGTCCATTTAAATTCCATCTTCCCATTCTCCATACTCTGTCCTTTCCCATTTCTTGGACTTCTCCAGCTCTTCAGGACATATAGGCCCACCCCTTCCTGTCTCTGTTCAGCTCTCAGACCCACCCCTTGACTACTTTTCTCATTTTCCATGCCTTCCATGAATATGCCTTCTGGTGTATATATTGGGGGTGGAGTGGGTGGGTGTGGCTCAGCATTTTGTGGACCACATGAAGTAAAATGACCATAGGCTACCTTTGGCTCTCTAGGTGCTAAACCTCTGACTCATGGAAGCCTAGTTTCATGAGAGCTCATTCATTAATTCCACGAGAATTTATTAAGCACCTTCTGTGTGCCAGGCACTGAGGGTGCAACAGGAAATGAGTTAAACAAAAACTCTGCCCTCATAGAGCTAACATGGGGAGGTGGGGGAGGGAGGCAGACAACAAATATGTAAATACATTCAAGATTTATTCAACAAATAATTATTGGGCATCTACTACGTGTGAGGCACAGTTCTATGCCCTGGCGATGTAGTGAGGAACAAGGCAGACACAAATCCCTGCCATTGTGGAGTTTGGATTCTAGGGAGGCGATGATCAGCATACCAGTAAGTATATGTGCATATAATATAGTGTCAGGTTTAAGAAGGAAAACAAAGCAGGATAAGTGTTGAGATGAGAGGGCAGTGGGGGAAGGAGTGCTAGGAGGGCTTGACCTAGACACCTGAGTGAAGTGTGCGAGGGAGCCATGCTGGTAGCTGAGGGGAGAGTGTTCCTGGCAAAGAGATGTGCAAGTGCAAAGGCCCTGAGGTGGGACCATGTAGGGCTATTTGAGAAATGGCAATGAGGACTTATGAGTTATCAACACTTGATCTTTAGAAGCTCAGACTCCTAGAATACCAGATTCACAAAGACTTCTCAGTCATGGGACTGGAAGTGGCATTAGGAAACTGAACCCAGGTCTTTGACTCCCCTCCCCTCCATCCCCTCCTCTTTCCCCTGCAGATGTGGACGAATGCCAAGAATACGGCCCTGCGATTTGTGGAGCCCAGCACTGTGAGAACACCCCTGGCTCCTACCGCTGCACGCCAGCCTGTGACCCTGGCTATCAGCCTACACCAGGGGGTGGATGCCAGGGTGGGTGTCCATGGAGCACTGGGGGAGATGTGGAGGGGGTAGAAGGTCCAGAAATGGTCTGACTCTCTGGTGGTTGCAGATGTGGATGAATGCCGGAACCGGTCTTTCTGTGGTGCCCATGCTGTGTGCCAGAACCTGCCCGGTTCCTTCCAGTGCCTCTGTGACCAGGGCTACGAGGGGGCGCGGGACGGGCGTCACTGCGTGGGTACGGGGCTCCAGGGGATGGGTGGGACCAGGGAGGTGTGGGGAAGAGGTTGGTCAGGCCATTCTCCTCTTCACAGATCTGAACAAATATTAACTTCAGGATTGTGAAATTTAGACCTTGGAACGTAAGATCATCTCCATATTGGTCAGAACTGTTCTAGTGACAAGTGACAGGAACCTTACTCATTCAGGTTTTATTTTTGTTTGCATGCTTTAAAAAATGCATAAGGGCCAGCCCATGGCTCACTTGGGAGAGTGTGGTGCTGATGACACCAAGGCCATGGGCTCAGATCCCTATTTAGGGATGGCCATTTAGCTCACTTGGGAGAGCGTGGTGCTGACAACACCAAGTCAAGGGGTAAGATCCCCTTACCGGTCATCTTTAAAAAAAAAACAATGCATAAAGTATGTAAAGCATGCTAATCTTAAGTGTACATAAACATTATTTTTTCCCAACATTTTATGCAGAAAATTTCTAAACGGGTGCTGACAACACCAAGTCAAGGGGTAAGATCCCCTTACCGGTCATCTTTAAAAAAAAAAACAATGCATAAAGTATGTAAAGCATGCTAATCTTAAGTGTACATAAACATTATTTTTTCCCAACATTTTATGCAGAAAATTTCTAAACATACAGCAAATTGAAAGAAATGTAGAATGTATACCTGCATACCTATGATCCAGACTGTATTATTATTTTATTATACTTGCTTCTTCACATATCTATTCATTACTCTATCTACTTTTTTGGATAGATTTAAAAGTAAATTGCAGGCATCAGTATACTTCTTAAACTTTTCAGTATACATATCGTTAACTGGAGTTCAATATGTGTTTACACTGTACCGGCCATCTGCCAGAAAAAAAACGTGTTTACAGATATTTTCATTTGAGGTTCAGCTTACATACAGTGAAGTGCATGAATCTTAATTATACATTCTCTAACTTTTCGCAAATGCAAACACAACAGGCTTTACTTCTTAAAATGGATATAAAACTGCAAGGTCCTGGGGTATATCTGAACTTCAGGCATAACTGGATCCAGGAATTTTAACAAGGCTATCTCTATCTCCTCCTCTCAGCTCTGCTTTCCTCTGCTGGGTTTATTTTCAGGCAAACTCTTTTCACAATAATAAAGATGGTTCTAACACCTCTAGCCTAACATCCTCAGCTTCAAAAAAAAAAAAAAAAAAAAAAAAAACATGGGTAGTGAGACTCTGTCAGGAGAACTTGATCCTGGCCCAGACTCTACCAGATTCTTTCATTCAACAAATGTTCACAGGGCATCCATGGTGTTCAGGCTCTATTCTGGGCACTGGGGACACAGTAGTGACCAAGAAAGATCACTCTCTCGAGTCAGCGCTGTGACTCACTCAGGAGAGTGTGGTGCTGATAACACCAAGGCCATGGGTTCGGATCCCATATAGGGATGGCCGGTTGGCTCACTGGGTGAGCGTGGTGCTGACAACAAGTCAAGGGTTAAGATCCCCTTACTGGTCATCTTTAAAAAAAAAAAAAAAGATCACTCTCTCTCCTCGAGAGGTTCACAATCTAATGAGGCAGACAGATATCACCAGATAGTGACAACCCAGAGACTTGAGAGGGAGGAAGCGTAGGCCAGAGGTAACAAGGCTGTGTCGGGGGAAACCTAGGGTGTTTTGGAGGAGCTGCCTGGCCCAGCCTGAGAAGAGGGTTAGGGAAGGCTTCCTTTAGGAAAAGTTGACTGAACTGAGAGCAGCAGGAAAAGTAGAAACGAGCCAGGTGAAGCGAGTGAGCAAGGGCAAAGGCCTGGCAGAGCAAGAGAGTATTTGGCATGTTTGAAGAACTGAAAGAAGTTCAACATGGTATGATTTGGAGAGCAAAGGAAGGGGTGGGGAGAGATGAGGCCAGAGAAGGAGACAGGAACCAGACTATACTGATTTACCATAATCAGGAGGTTGGACTTTTCCCGAGGGCACAGCGATGCCATGGAAGGGTGTGAACAGGAAAAGGATATATTCAGATTTTAAAACCTCCATCTGACTGCCATGTGAAGGTGATTGAAGAGGGTGACATTGGCGGGTGGAAGCCTAGGGAGCAGGCTGGGCCAGGGATCCAGACAGGAGAGGAAAGGCTAGACCAAGGCAGGGGCCATGGGAGGGAAGAAGAGGGACCATGTGGACAAGATGTGGGGCTGCCTGGGTGGGGAAGATGTGTTCAGGATAAGGCCTAGGTTTTGGGATGAAGACTCTGAGTCAGTTTGGGACACACTGGATGTGAGGACCCAGGGAGGCACACAGAGGCCAGGGAAATCCCCTCTCCGCCCACTCCAAACTGTAGCTGCAATGATGGGAAAGTGTGAGGTGGGGGGGCAAGAGATGCAGAAATGACAGTAGGTGAGAGTAGGTGAGAGAGAAAGAGAGATCATGATAGATGGGTGAAAGGTGGGGAGTCTGGTTCTGCCACTGAGGGCTGGTGCCCTCTGGGCTTCAGTTTCCCCGTCGATGACATTGGGAGCTGGGCTCAGCCTATCCTGGGCTAAAATCCCTTGCCTCCCCAGGCATGTTCCCAGGCTCACAGCCCCAGGCACCTGCCAGCCCTGGTCTGCCAGCCAGGCCACCTCCACCACCCCCGCCCCGCCGGCCCAGCACACCTAGGCAGGGCCCTGTGGGCAGTGGGCGCCGGGAGTGCTATTTTGACACAGCGGCCCCGGATGCATGTGACAACATCCTGGCACGGAATGTGACATGGCAGGAATGCTGCTGTACTGTGGGTGAGGGCTGGGGCAGTGGCTGCCGCATCCAGCAGTGCCCAAGCACTGAGACAGGTAGGCATGGTCTGATGGCTGGACACAGGGCAGTGGGTTTGGGTAGAAATAGGGGGATGTGGGACTGGGAAAGGGGACACATTTGGACACAGGGCTGTGGTGCTGGTACTGTCAGGGCAAGAGTGAGCTGCCAGCCAGGTGGGCATGTATGGGCATGAGGCTGAGGGGTGGGCACAAACAGGCAGGGGCCTGAGGACTTGGGCATGGGGCAAGAGTAAGCACTGGGATAGGTGGGTGCGAGTGGGTGCAGTGCCCAGGGCCAGGGCTGGGATTTGGGTGTCTGGGCTCAGCCTTGTCTCTGTGTGCAGCCGAGTACCAGTCATTGTGCCCTCATGGCCGGGGCTACCTGGTGCCCAGTGGAGACCCGAGCCTCCGGAGAGGTAAGACCAGACTTCAGCTCCCACCCTCCCTCAGCCCCAGGCCCAGCTCTGTCTCTT